GGGAGGAGTAAAAAATGCCTCTAGGTTTTTGAGGGGAGCAAATGGAACAATGGCATTACTGTCAACTGAGATGGGAAAGACTGTGGTAGAGCAGATTTGGAGGGGAGATTAGTAGCTCAGTTTTGGAATGGTGCATTTGAGATACCTATTAGACATCTGAGTGGCTATGTTAAATCAGTAGTTGGACATATTAGTGTGGGGCTTAGGAGTTAGAAATCTGGGAGTTGTTGACATGTAGCTGTTATTTAAAATCACAAGACTGGAAGAGATCACTGAGGGAGTGAGAGTAGATAGGAAAGAGAAGAGGAACACGGACCTTACCCAGGGGTACTCCCATTTTAAGAGGTCTGGGAGGAGAGGGGAGCCAGTAAAGGAGACTGAGAAGGAGCAGCCAGTGAGGTCAGAGGACCAGGAGAGTATGGGGTCCCGGAAGACAAATGAAAACAGTGAACCGAGGCTGTGCCAAATGCTGCTGATAGGTCAAGTGAGATGAGGACTGAGAATTGACCATTGAGCTGCGTAGCAAGGAGATCAGTGGTGACCTTAATGTGAACTGTGGAGTGGAGTGGTGGGGACCCGATTGGAGAGGTGAATAGAAGGAGAGGAATGGGAGGCAGTGAATACATGCAATTCTTTTGCAGAGTTTTGCCACAAAGAGGAGCAGAGAAATAGAACAGTGGCTGGTGAGGAAAGGAGTCAAGAAGGTTCCCTTTCTTTTTAAAGGTGGGAGAGTAAGAGCATGTTTATATAGTGATGGGTGATGGGACTCATCCAGTAGTGAGGGAGGAAAATGATGGTGCAGGAGACGGAGAAGGGAGAATTGGCAGAGGAGTGAGCTTAAATAAGCTTATGTCTTTTTTATTCCTTTATTTCATTTTAGTGGGATTTTTTGGAGGAATGTTCTGTTATTTTAACCAGAAGCTTTCTTCGCTCTTTTTTTAAAATTTATTTTTATTGAAATATAATTGATATATAGCACTGTATAAGTTTAAGGTGTGCAACATGTTGATTAGATAAATTTATATATTGCAATATGATTACACGCTCCTTCACTCTTAATACTTAGGGATTCCTATATAATAAGAGTTTCAGTCTCTGTTTTATAAATGAAGAGGCTCATACAGTAGAGAGTGTGTATTTCATGTTTACTTACTCATTATCTACTAGGTCAGACTCAATTTTTCAACTTCCCGTCCTTCCAGGACCTCAATGACATTTGAATCTTGCTTCCAAAATACATTCCTTTCCAACCAGCCAGTAAACAACAGTTGAACTAGTCTTTCTTTAAATCACCAACCTCAAAATTTGAAAAGTATGTTCAATATAGTTAAGCATATCTTGTATTGCATTTATATGAAATTATAGCAGAATTGATCAAGTGCAGCCTTAATTGATTTTACCCTCTCGGGCAGCACTGTTTTTTTTTTTTTTGGTATAACTCCCCCTTCCACGTGTAATTTTGGATTTGTTTGAAAACACGGTGGACCTAGAACACGTGTATTATAAAAACAAAAGAACCTGGTAAATCAGACAGTGTGTCCTGTTGTGATAGCAACTGGCTTGTGTTTGAAAAGTTTGGCTTTAAGGATTTTTGGTATTTCAACAACTAAATCAGGATTGCATTTGACTTGTATTCACCAGGAGGAAATGAAGGATCTAACTAAGCTGTGGTGTAGTTGGCATCTGGTTATATGAAGAAATAGAGAAATGATGGGCTTACATTAGGAAGTTATAAGAAAGAATGGAATCATATCAGCTTAGTAGTATATTAGGAGGTGCTGTCAGGAGGAATTCCCAGAAATAGATTATTGTATTCTGTATTATATATAGAATAATCTGAGATTCTTCATACAAATAAAATACCTTTCCTGTTCATTCATTCATACCTTTCTTTCAGCAGTAATCATCAAGCACCTGTTATGTGCCAGACTAAGGATACAACTCTAAGCCTTCATGGAGCTTATTGTGTGGAATACAATGCATAGTATCCGTCTGTCAGGTCACAGGACAGGGATCATGTTTCTTATACAGTCATGTGCCATATAATGATGTTTCTCTCAAGGATGGGCCACATATATGACAGTGGTGTCATTAGATTAGTACTATATAGCCTAGGGCTGCCACAGACAAAATGCCACAGACTGGGCGGCAGAAATTTATTTCCTCACAGTCTGGAGGCTAGAAGGCCAAGATCAGGGTGTCAGTAGGCTTGGTTTCTTCTGAGGCTTCTCATCTTGGCTGGATACGGCCATCTTCTCACCGTGTCCTTACATGGTCTTTCCTCTGTGCGTGAGTGCATCCCTGGTGTCTCTCATGTATCTGAATTTCCTCTAATAAGGGCACCAGTCAGATTGGATTAGGGCCCACCCTAAAGGCCTCATTTTAACTCAATCACCTCTTTAAAGGCCCTATTTCCAAATAGTCCCATTCTGAGGTACTAGGGGTTAGGACTTCAACATAGGAATTTTAGGGGGACTCAACTCAGCCCAGAACACTCTACCCTCTGGACCCCCCAAATTCATATTCTTCTCACATCCAAAATACATTCACTCCCATCTCAACAGCCCCACAGTCTTAACTCATCCCAGCATCAACTCTAAGTCCCAAATCTCATCTAAATGTCATGTGAATCAAGTATGGATGCACTCAAGGTATAATTCATCCTGAGGCAAAATTCCTCTCCAGCTGTGAGCCTGTGAAAGCAGACAGGTTATCCGCTTCCAAAATACAAGGGTTGGACAGGCATAGGCTAGACATTCCCATTCCAAAAGGGAGAAATCGGAAAGAAGAAAAAGTATCACAGGTCCCGAGTGAGTCTGAAACCTAGCAGGGCAATTTCCGTTAGATTTTAAGGCTCGAGAATAATCCTCTTTGGCTCGACGCTCTGTCCTTCCAGCCTCCCAGTGTGGTGGGCCCACTGGGGTGGCAGCCCCACCCCCGAGGCCCTGGGCGTAGGCAGCCTGGCCCACTGAAACCAAGGAGACAGCCTTGCCCCCACCTCCCCCAGCCTGGGGCCTGGCCCCTCTGGGCCTGCAGTGGCAGCAGCAGCCCTGTTGAGCTCTGAATCACCTTTGGAGTTCTCTTTCCCTTTTCTTGAAGGATAACACCTGTTCACAGTCCTGTGGAATCCCAGAAGTCCAATAGCCTTGCTTGCTTCATTTCATCTTGTATCTGTTGCTTTTAATCTAAGCTGACAGTATTTCTGCTGATAGAACCCCATCTCTATTCCTGGCTTCTACCCAGATGGCTGATTAGATCCGTGAGTCACACCTATAATTTCTTTATCAAAAAGATTATCCTGGGGCCTGCCCGGTGGCACTGCCTTTAAGTGCACACAGTTCTTTGGTGGCCTGGAGTTTGCTGGTTAGGATCCCAGGTGCGGACATGGCACCACTTGGCAAGCTATGCTGTGGTAGGCATCCCATGTATAAAGTAGAGGAAGATGGGCACGGATATTAGCTCAGGGCCAGTCTTCCTCAGCGAAAAAAAAGGAGGATTGGCAGCAGATCTTAGCTCAGGGCTAATCTTCCTAAAAAACAAAAAAAAAAGGATTATCCAGCCATAACCTTTGTGTTATCTGCTGAGTTTGCTTTCATGTTTTGTTATATGGACCGGCTGAGATTTTTCCAAATCTTCAAGTTCTGGTGCCTTTTTGCTTAACAGTTCCTTCTTCAATGTATCTCTCTCCTCTTGCATTTTACTATATGCAGCAAGAAGAAACCAGGCCACACCTTCAACACTTTACTTAGAAGTCTCCTCAGGTAAATATCCAAGTTCCTTGCCACATCATAACAAAAATTGACTTTTCTCCAGTTTCTAATAATAGGCACCTCATTTCTTTCTGAGATCTCACCAGAATCACCTTTAACATCCTTAATCCTATCAACAATATCTTCAAGGCAATCTAGGCTTTTTTTTCTAACATGCACCTCAAAACTCTTCCAGCCTCTACCCATTCCTAGTTCCAAAGCCCCTTTCATATTTTTAGTTATTTGTTACATCAGCATCTCACTTCTTGGTACCAAAATCTGTAGTTAGTCTGCTAGGACTGCCATAAATAAAGTACCATGGACTGGATGGCTTAAACAACAGAAATTTATTTTCTCACAGTTCGGGAGGCTAGACGTCCAAGATCAAGATATGGCAAGTTTGGGGCCAGCCCCGTGGCTGAGTGGTTAAGTTCTCTCCCTCCGCTTTGGCGGCTCAGGTTTTTGCCAGTTCGGATCCTGGGCGCGGACTTGGCAGTGCTCCTCAAGCCATGCTGAGGCAGCATCCCACATGCCACAACTAGAAGGACCCACAACTAAAAATATACAACTATGTCCCAGGGGGCTTTGGGGAGAAAAAGGAAAAATAAAATCTTTAAAAAAAATGATATGACAAGTTTGGTTTCTTCTGAGGCCTCTTTCTTTGGCTTGTAGATAGCTATCTTCTCACTGTGTCTTCACGTGATCTTTCCTCTATGTGTGCATCCGTGGTGTCTCTGTGTGTCCAAATTTCATTTCCTTAAAAGGATGCCAGTCTGGGGCCGGCCCGGTGGCGCAGCGGTTAAGTTTGCACATTCCGCTTCAGCGGCCCGGGGTTCGCTGGTTCAGATCCCGGGTGCAGACATGGCACTGCTTGGCAAGCCATGCTGTGGTAGGCATCCCATGTATAAAGCAGAGGAAGATGGGCATGGATGTTAGCTCAGGGCCAGTCTTGCTCAGCAAAAAGAGGAGGATTGGTGGCAGAGGTTAGCTCAGGGCTAATCTTCCTCAAAAAAAAAGGACGCCAGTCAGATTGGATTAGGGCCTACTCTAAGGACCTCATTTTAACTTATCATCTCTTTAAAGACTTTGTCTCCAAGTACAGTCACATTCTGAGGTACTGGGGGGGTGGTTAAGGCTTCAACATATGAATTTGGGGGGGATACAATTCAGCCCATAACAGTGACCCAGCATGAGTAATCAGCTGTGGAACTTGTTAGCTTTGCCTGTGTAATAATACTGTTTTCTTCCTAGTACTACGAAGTATTCCTTCGACAGTCCCCATTGGAGCCCTGCCTTCTGTTTCATGAAGGTGGATACTGGCGTGAGCTCACAGTCCGCACCAATAGCCAAGGGCACACAATGGCCATCATCACTTTCCATCCCCAGAAATTAACACAGGTGAGACTCACAGCATGATAAGGGGACGCTTCTGTCTCAGCCTTTACTGTTTCTATGCTGCAGTTGGTTTGTGGAAGTCTAAGGGCATATAGCAGAAACGACACATCCACAGAATATTTGTGTGGGTCAGGAAGAGGGGTTGGGAGTGAGGAGGAGGAGATGGCAAGGATACTCTAACTGTGCTGTTGGCGTAATCAAACCAGAGACTGTTAATTATCATGTGAGGCCCTAAGTATTTGCACAAGAACTTTGCCCATGGAAGATAGTAAGTGCTGTATTGAATCTGAAAGCCAATTCAATAGAGACTAGCATATAGTCAGAATTCCTTAACCCAAATAATACTTTACATTTCTAATGCGCTTAGAGCTTTCAAACATTCTCATATTAAAACATTACTACACGTAGGTGATCATTTCTACCAACTTGTGAAGTAGGCAAGAGGAGAGGTATTGTCACCCTCATTTCATAGATGAGCAAATGGAAGCAGAGAAGTACCCAAGGTCAAACAGCAAGTAAACAGCCAAGCTGGGGTTTGAACCCTGGTCATTGATTCCTGGCCTTTTCACTCTACAGCTCCAACATAGTTTATTGCGATAGATCCTTGTGTAAAGCTAATGGTTAGGCTCTCTGTAGTGATGTAAGAATTTTAGATGTTCTGAACTCGAAGACAGGAGTTAGTTACCATGCTCATTCTCTTCCGTGCCCTCTCTTTCCTTTCTCCTAGGACTCATGTCCTCTGATGTGGTGTTTGCATGGGTGGTTGGGATGTTTGAAGTGAAGTATGAAGGGAATTAAAAGGTTATTGCTTGTTCATGATGGGACAAAAGCTTAGTTTAGCCCCTTGTTTACAACAAGAATAACTTGCACACTTTCTTTAGAGAACTATTAAAGAGGCTCAAACTAGAGAAAGTGTCATGTCTGTCGTATAGGATTTGTCAAAAGCCGATAAGCAAAGCAATGCTTCTACTGAGAGGTGAAAATAGCTTATCTTTTTGTCCTATAGAATATTGCTTTGTGTTGTGTTATTTATAATAGGATTTGAGAAATGTGCCTTCTTGTCTGACTTCTGCAGGCCTGATTACTGTAGAGCTTGGAGAGAAAATTGATGAGAGGTGAGTCTTTGCTTGACTCCTGATTTTGTGGTCTGGGCAGGAGGAGCTCTGTGTTCAGAAGGAGACTGTAAAGGAGTTTTTCACCAAAGGGCCAGGAGCAGTCTGTGACTTGACATCACTTTACTTCCAGGAAAGGTAAATCTGGGACAGCCAAACAGCAAGCAAGAGGCTGATGGCTTGCTGTTGTCTGGGTTGTGGGTTACTGAGGTAGGGCTGCTGATTGCAGAGGATCTGGGCTAAGTGGTACTAGACCTTGTACACCAGCCAGGTCTGGGAACCCAAGCTGTAAATGAGAGTGTCTGCTTATGCTTCCATTCCCTGAGAGGGGACCTCCTACAGAGCTCTCAGGGCCGTGCCATGGAGGCTGTATCTTCTAGCTGAGATGCTGGGACCTCCTACTCCAACCATCTACTAGAGATAGAGTGGACTGCCATTACAAGATACTTTCTTCTTTTATTCTTCTCCAGCACTATGACCCGTTGCAGTCATCAGCAATCCCCTTACCAACTCCTATTTGGGGAACCCCACATCTTTGAAGATCTCTTGGGCTTGAAGATCCGCATCTCTCCAGATGCCTTTTTCCAGATTAACACTTCTGGTGCAGAGATGCTGTATCAGACCGTGGGGGAGCTGAGTGGAGTGAACTCTAACACCATCCTCCTTGACATCTGCTGTGGAACTGGCAAGTGGCAGCCCAGGGCAGAATCTATATGCTGCTTAGTTCCCAAACCCCATCCACCCAGGCCCTGGGGCCCTTGCAGCTGAAATGGGAAGGTAGTGGTTGTGGTACAGGCATAACCTCATTGGTTAACCCTCCTCTTATTCTCTCTTACTTCCCTAGGTGTGATTGGCCTGTCTCTGGCTCAGTATACCTCCCAGGTCCTTGGGATTGAGTTGGTGGAGCAGGCAGTGGAGGATGCCAGGTGGACTGCAGCCTTCAATGGTACACTGCTCACAGTCTGGGGAGAAATGAAGAGCTGCGCTTGTTTCTGTGCTATGGAAATGGTTGTATGGGAAAGGGAAGCTACTGTTTCCATGACCTCTGGGCAGGAAGGGAGGATGTTCTGGAGTGGTCAGAGTTGGGTCCTGATGGTTTTCTGAAGAGGTCCCAATAGCTAGTCTTTTTTTCTATCCAGAATAAGAGCCCAAGGGAAGGAACAAGCCTAGCTTGATAGGAAGGGAACTTGACAAAACTTTGGATAATATAGAAGAAGAGCCTTCTTGACATTAGACTCATGAGGCATCCTAACATAATACAATAGATTTCAAACCTTTTTTTAGCAACAGGACCTTTTCTTTGAACAAAATCTTATGCCAGATGACAATATATGAAACAGATCTCCTTGTCCCCTCAACCTTACCTCCAGACAACTCCTGATGTAGACACACAACCTCCATTATAGCAGAAAGAGCACTTGAGTAAAAGTCAGGGTTCTCTCTTTGGTATAGAACTTATGTGCTGTGTGAGTCACTAAGTTGTACAATAATATTGTCTAGTCTTTCAAGCTGAAAGGCCTATTGAGATATTGCAAGGGAAAGCACGGAAAAAATGACGCAGATCCAAAAGCATTTCTTTCATTGTTATTCAGAGGTATGCTAGATCCAAAGGGAAGATGACAGAGCCCTGGCTTCTATACATTTCTGTAAAGCTCCCCACCTGCCACTGCTGGGCTGGAGTTTTCCGTAAGGGTCACGTGAGTCTCTCTTCTGCAGGCATCACCAACTGTGAATTCCACACTGGTCGAGCAGAGAAGATTTTGCCGCAGCTACTGAAGTCAAAGGAAGATGGGCAGTTAATTGTTGCTGTGGTGAACCCAGCCCGAGCAGGACTGCGTAAGGATGAATAGCTTTCTTGCTACAGAGCTAGTTGGGTGTTCCCATGATGTCCACCAGCTTTAGTGCCTCCTTCGCACACCATGCTAAGAGTGCTCCCAGTGGGCTTGCTCTGAACTTGCTTCTCATGTATTCCTAACCAATACTGAGTTCTGGTCAGTTGGGAGTTTGTGATAACCCAGACCATGATAGTTTAATTATAACAACAGCAATGTGTTTCTTCCTTCAGATCACCGGGTGATTCAAGCCATTCGAAACTGCAGGGCCATCCGCACACTAGTTTTTGTTTCCTGCAAGCCTCAGGGTGAAACCACAAGGAATGTCGTTGAGTAAGTCTTGACTTCTTTTTCAAATTATTTTTTCTTGATGATCAAAGTAAACCATGCTTGTTGTGCAGAATTTGGAAAATGCAGAGACGTGTAAAGAAACAGAAAAAAGTCATTATACTATCATCAAGAGTCAATTATAGGGCCAGGTCTCAGGTGAGGCTGGTAAAGCAACTCACTTTGGGTGTAAAATTTGAGAGTGCCCCAAATCTCAGTAATCAAGATACATTTTTAATGTAGTATTTTCAAAAATCAAAATTACTCCAAAAAGTCCATGATGAAAAAATATTAAGATTTTTAAAACAGTGAAATGCACTCCTGTCCTTCTAAACCCTGTCTCACTCACCTTAGCCTAATCCTGGCCCTGGGTCCGATAAAAGTTTATTTATAAAAGCAGGAAGCCAGCCTTCAGGCCATAGTTTTCCAATTTGATTTTCCAAAATACTGCATCAAAATATTATTTGTCTTGTTTACTGAGTTTTTTGGCACACTCTTCAAGTTTGCATCCAAGGTGGATGCCTCTTGCTTCACTCTAGTTCTGGCACTGGTCAATTACTTTGATTTTTTTTTTTTAAGGAAGATTAACCCTGAACTAACTGCTGCCAATCCTCCTCTTTTCACTGGGGAAGACTGGCCCTGAGCTAACATCCATGCCCCTCTTCCTCTGCTTTATATGTGGGATGCCTACCACAGCATGGCGTGCCAAGTGGTGCCATGTCCGCACCCGGGATCCGAACCGGCGAACCCCGGGCTGTCAAAGTGGAACGTGAGCACTTAACTGCTGCACCACCGGGCTGGCCCCTATTTTGATTTTTGAAATGTTTTCTTGTAATTTCTCTTTCTCTTTTTCTTTTTACACAAGTAATACAATTTCTCTGTAATATTCAGACAACATAGGTGGCTGTAAAGTACAGATGATATACCTGGATGAAACAAGAGAGAATTAAACGTAAATGAATTGAGCTTTCCAGTCAGTGAGCCAGAAGAAGAACAATAAACCTAAAGGAAACTGAAGGAAGACATCAGTAGCATTAAAAAATCCAGACATTAATGAACTACAAAGCAAAAAACCTGTAGACTTGACAGATAAACAAGAAGGGTTATTGAAAGAAGAAAATAAAATAAATAAATTTAATCAAGGATATAAAGGAATAAAACATAAAAATATGAAGTCTTAAATGAGAAAAAGAGCATAACTACAGATTAAGAAATTTTAAAAAAATTATAAGAAAGTACTTTTCTACAACTCCTTCACAATACATTTGAAGACCTAGATGGGTGATTTTCTGGGAAAATGCAAATGGCTAATATTAATTCCAAAAGATATAGTAACCCTAAACAGACCGGTAACCACGGAAAAAAATTGAGAAAGTTGTCAAAGAGCTTCTTCTACCCAAAATAAAATCATTGAGACCCATGAGTTTTCACAGGCTTATTTCCTTGTCTCTGCTTACACATTCACTCTTCCAGTTGTCCTGTATTTTTATTTTTATTATACTATTTAAACATGTTTTTGAATTTTTGATAAAGGTGGCACCTCAGAGTATTCAATAAATGGTGGTGAACAACTGGGTGGTCATGGCAAAAATCAGAAAAGTTGGATCTATGTCTCACACTGTATACCAGGATAAATTACGAAGGAGTCGGAGATTTAAATGTGAAGAAGGGAAACCATAAATGTACCCTAGGAAATCACAGAATTTCTCTTTAGTTGCGGAGTGCAGAAGCCCTTTCTAACTATGAAAATTCAGAAGCCATATAATAAAAGGTTGTTAAATTTGGTTGCATGTAAAATAGCTTCTCCGTTTATTACACCATACACAGAAATGAATTCAAAATGGATCATAGAACTAAATGTAAGAGGTAAAACATAGGAGTAAATCTTTGTGACCTTGGGTTAGGCAAAAGCCTTCTTAGATGTAATGTCAAAAACCCAAACAACAGCAAAATATATATATAAATATATGTGTGTGTGTGTGTATAATTGGACATCATCCAAGTTAAAAAAAACTTTGGTGCTGCAAATGATACCATCAAGAAAGTGAAACGATAAGGAGCTGGCCCAGTGGCGCAGTGGTTAAGTGCGCATGTTCCGCTTCAGCGGCCTGGAGTTTGCTGGTTTGGATCCCGGGTGCGGACATGGCACCACTCGGCAAGCCACACTGTAGTAGGTGTCCCACATATAAAGTAGAGTAAGATGGGCACAGATGTTAGCTCAGGGCTAATCTTCCTAAAAAAAAAACAGGAAAGTGAAAAGACAACCCACAGAATGGGAGAAAATATGTGCAAATCATTTATCTGAAAAGGGACTGGTATCCAGAAGCCAGACACAAAAGGCCACATGTTGTATGATTCCATTTGTAGGAAATGTCCGTACTAGGCAAATCTCTACAGACAGAAAGTAGATTTGTGGTTGTCTAGGGCTGAGGGTGAGGAGTTTGGGGAGAAATGGGGAGTGACTGCTAAGGGGTGCATGATGTCTTCTTGGATTAATGAAAATATTCCAAAATTGATTGCTATGACGGATGCCCAACTCTGAATATACTAAAAATCACTGAACTGTATAAATGGGTGAGCTGTATGGGATGTGAATTACATCTCAGTAAAACAGTTAAAAAATCAATAACTTGCGTGATAACAAGCACTAAAAGCAAAGACAAGAGACAACATACAAACTGGAAAAAAATATGCAGTTTATATTACAGACAAAGACTTTTTCCCTTAATTTATAACAAACTCCTGGAGATCAATAAGAACAACAGCCCAAAAGAAAGATGAACAGAAGATATGAAAAAAATATTATAAATGTGTTTATGAATCATGAAAAGATGCTCAGTGTCTTCCGTTATAATGGAAATGCAAATTAAGAGTACCCTGAGATAACCACTTTTTACATCTCAGACTGGTCAAAGTTCAAAAGTTTGATAATGCACTGTTGGTGATACTATGAGGAAACATGAACTCTAAAAAATTGCTGTGTGGAGTGTAAATTGGTACTATCCCTATAGAAGGAAATTTAGCAATATAGATTAAAATTATAAATGTGTATAAACCGTTTGACCCAGTAGTTCCATTCCTGAGGCTGTATCCTACAAATATACTGACACACATGTAAAATTACATACCGACAAAGTTATTTATTGCAGTATAACAGCAAACAGTGAAATATCCTAAAAGTCCATCTGTGGGGAACTGGTTAAATCAACTGTGCTACATTCCTACAGTGGAATACTGTGCTGCTGTAAAAAGGAATGAAGATGTTCTTTATATACTGATGTGGAAAGATCTCTAAGAAATATTATTTTTTAATGACAGCTTTATTGAGATATAATACACATATCATAAAATTCATCCATTCAATGGTTTTTGGTATGTTCTCATACTTGTGCAGCCATCACCACTGTCTAATTCCAGAACATTTTCATCGCTTCAAAAAGAAATTCTGCACCTCTCACCAGTCACTTCCCATTTTTCCCCAACCCCCTGGCCCTAGGCAACCACTAATCTACTTTCTGTGTGTGTCTATTTGCCTATTGTGTGCATTTCATACAAGTTAAGTGATACAACATGTGGTTCTGTGCATCTGGCTTCTTTCACTTAGCATGATGTTTTCAAGGTTTTTCCGTGCTATAGCATGTATCAGTCCTTCATTCCTTTTTATGCCCAAATAATATTCCATTGTATGGATATAGCACATTTATTTATTCACTCATCAGTTGATGGACATTGGGTTGTTTCTGCCTTTTGGCTCTTAGGAATAGTGCTGCTATGAACATTTGTGTGCAAGTTTTTGGGTGGACATGTGTTTTCATTTCTGTTGGGTAGATACCTAGGAATGGAATTGCTGGGTCATATGGTAACTCTATATTAACCTTTTGAGGAAGTGCCAGACTGTTTTCCAAAGCATCTGCCCAACTTTACATTCCCACCAACAGTGTATGAGGGTTCCAGTTTCTCCGCATCCTCACCAATTCTTTTTACTTTTTATTTTGCTGAGGAAGACTGGCCCTGAGCTAACATCCATTCCCATCTTTCTCTACTTTATATGTGGGACGCCTGCCACAGCATGGCTTGCCAAGCGGTGCCATGTCTGCACCTGGGATCTGAAGTGGTGAACCCCGGGCCACCGAAGCAGAACGTGGGCACTTAACTGCTGCACCACTGCGCCGGCCCCTCACCAATTCTTATCATCTGTCTTTTTGATTATGTCCATCCTCGTGGGTAGGAAGTGGTATCTCCTTATGGTTTTGCTTTGCATTTCCCCAGTGGCTAATGATGTTGAGTACTGTTTCATATGCTTATTTGCCATTTGTATGTCTTCATTGGAATAATGTCTGTCAGATCCTTTGCCCATTTTTTTAATTGGGTTGTCTTTTTGTTATTGAGTTTTAAGATTTCTTTATATATTCTAGATACAAGTCCCTTATCTCAGATACACAATTTACAAAAATTTTCTCCCTTCTGTGGGTTCTCTGTTCACTTTCTTGATGGTGTCCTTTGAAACATGAGTAATTTTGAAGATGTCCAGACTATTTTTCTTAAAATTTTTAAAAAATTTTTCCTCTTCTCCCCAAAGCCTCCAGTACATAGTTTTATATTCTTGTTGTAGGTCCCTCTGGTTGTGCTATGTGGGACGCCGCCTCAACATGGCCTGATGAGCAGTGCCATGTCGGCGCCCAGAATCCAAACCGGTGAAACCCTGGGCTGCCAAAGCGGAGTGCACAAACTTAACCACTCGGCCACGGGGCTGGCTCCCAGACTATTTTTCTTTTGTGGCTTATGATTTTGGTTCTAAGGTGTTTTACTAAGTGGAAATGGCAAGGTGTGCAGAATTGTTTATATAATACTAAACTATCTTTTTGAAAAAGGACAAAGGATGAAGAGAAGAATATAGATTTGTATTTGCTTGTATATGCGTAGACAAACTGGTAAGTTGGGGCTGGCCCTGTGGCGGAGTGGTTAAGTTTGCGCGCTCCCCTTCAGTGGCCCAGGGTTTTGCCAGTTCGGATCCTGGGCACCGACATGACACCGCTCATCAGGCCATGTTGAGGCGGCATCCCACATGCCACAACTAGAAGGACCTACAACTAAAAATATACAACTATGTACTGGGGGGCTTTGAGGAGAAAAAGGAAAAATAAAATCTTTGAAAAAAAAAAAAGAAACTGGTAAGTTTTATAAGCAACTGATAATAGTTATCTATGGTGGGAGAGAACTGGGGAGATGAGAGTCACAAGTGGGAAGGAGACTTCACTGTATACCTTTTTACGTTATTTCATTTTTTAATAAAATGAAAACTTTCATTATGCAAAACAATAAATAAAAAAAATGCAATGATTAAGAGTGAACCTAGGATTCTGCTGACACTCATACTGAGTAAAACAATAAACATGGCCTCAAAAAGGCAAGAAAAATGTATTTTGAAAGGACAGTATGTGCATATGATAGAAGAAATTCAAACAATACAAGAGTATGCAGTGAATAATGAGTTTCTTTCTTACTCCCGACCCCAGTACTTCAGATGTCACCACTCTTACCAGTTTCTTATGTAGCCTACCAGAGATATTTTGTGACTATACGTGTGTGTGTGCGCACATATCATCCCTCTTTTTTTTTTTTAACAAATGGAAACAGACTGTAGACACTGTTGTGCACCATGCTTTTCACTAACAATAGATTTTGGAGATTGTTCTGCAATGATGTAGAATCTGCATCAATACTTACAGGTCTACTTAACATTTGTAAAAGGCTGTGTAGTTTTTAATTTACATAAATATGTCATTTAACTAGTCCCTTGCTAATGAATTTTAAGGTGGTTTCTTCTCTATTGTTACCACAATGTTACAGTGAATATCCTTGTACATATATCTTTTCACATATGTGCAATATGTATGTGTATATGTGATGAATAAGTCTATGTGATTTTATATATATATATATATATATATATATTAGATAAATCCCTGATATTGAATTGTTGAGTTAAGGGATATATCCTCTTAACATTTTCATATATTTTCTAACAGAGCTCTAGAATCAGCTTATCAAAAATATCCTTTTGGGATTATGATTGGAGGTACACTGAATTTATTAATTAATTTAAGGAGGATTGAAATCTTTACAGTATTTTTTTCTGTCTAGGTATGTAGTATACCTCTTCAGTTACTCTAGTCTTATGTAATTCTCTAAAACTGTATATATGTATATATTTTTTCCAATATAGGTCTTTCTTCTTAGGGTTAATACAAGACATAATAAAGATTTATTGCTAGTATGAATGGGACCTTTTTCATGACGTTTTCTAAGTGGTTATTGCCTATCTTGTGTCCAGCTACTTTACTCTTTTATTAGTTTTATTCATTTTCCAATTGAATCTCTTGGATTTTGTTGGTAGCTGGCCATATGATCACCATATAAAAAGTTTTGTTTCTCTCCTTCCAATACTGTTTTTTCTTATTATATTGGATAAGAAAATGTTCCCTTGTAGGAGTGACAGTGAATATCTCGTTTTGTTCCTGACTTCAATGGGACAGTGCTATTTAAACTATTGAGTGTTAGCCAAGGAAACAAGAACTCTTCTGCTTTGTTGCTTTGACTGCAAACCGGTACAACCTTTTTTAGAACAGTTTAGTGGTACATATCTTAGGGCCCTCAAAACATACAGGCCCTTCACCTCAGCACTTCCACTGAAAAGGTCAAAATGTATGCAAAGATATAACTAGAAGAATACTCACGGAGGGGCTTTTCAAGTAGCACAAAGTTAGAAACAGCTTACGTTTTCAATAGCAAGGAATTAGATAAGTAAACTGTTTGATTTATTTAATGAAATGCCATATAGCCAATAAAAGGGAGGTAGCTTTACATATAATGTTTTGGAGAGATGCTCATGATGCACTGTTAACTGAAGAAGGTTGTAAAGCAGTATGTACAAAATGTGCAGTGTGACTCCATTTTAAGGAACCAATTTAAATATACATATTTGGAAAGCTGTGTCGTGAAAAGTAAGCAGTGGTTATCCTTTTCCGAATGGTGAGTTTCTAGGTGAATTATGTTCTCATTTTTGCTTGAGTACCTTTGAAATAATGGAAAAAAGTAATCTACTTTGCAAAATTTCAATAGAACAATTTAATCCAGTAATATTTATTAATTACCTACTGTGTGCCAATCATACAGAAAAGTATATGACCGAGGCCCCTTGCTCCATTCACCATGGAATCCCCACTCTGGTTCACACACTGGGAACATAGAGATGGCTAATAAGCAGTTTTTGCCTCATTTCTACCCTCAAAAAGATTGTATTCCAGTGAGGAAGATGGTTAGAAAAAAACCAGGTGGTTACATTAAATATAAAGGCTGTTACAGAGAGAAGCACAGGGGGTTGTGGGAACACAGAGGAAAGGCTTCAGTTTTAAGAAATTGTGTTCCTGTAGGTTCTCCTTGGTTTCCAGGAACTGATATTATGATCTGTTTCTACAGGCTGTGCTGTCCTCCCAACTCCGCTAAGAAGCTCCTCGGCGAGCCTTTTGTCCTGAGACAAGCTGTGCCTGTGGATCTGTTTCCCCACACCCCACACTGTGAACTGGTGCTCCTCTTCACTCGATAAGCAGCCTCCTACAAGACTGCAGGCTCATTGTTAAGGCCGAAGTTTCAGTGTCTTCCAGGTTTGGCATATTGCTACATGGCAGACCTTGAGAGCCTTCCCGGGGAAACCAGTCTTTGGATTGTGAGCAGGAAGAATGTAGTAGGCCTACCGTCCGAGGCCATTTTATAACCTTAGTTTTCAGGTTCCCTTGCTCTCATGCGTGTTTGCCTGGTTGTGACCACTCTTTGGCCTTGGATCTAGACTGTACTTTCTTTTTGCTGTCAGCCTGGCATGGCTCCCTTGGTACTAGTTTGTAGTCTTGTCTCCTCTGTCTGACTCTGCCTGTGATGACAACTGAGCTTTTCTCTGCAGTTGGTAATAATTTCACGTTGACTCAGGTCTCTCTATTTACCCAGAGATTATACTAGGTATTTTCTGTGTTCATGAGGTATCCAAGGATTAGAACTAGAGACAAATCCAGCTTTTTAAAAGAGCAGAGTAAGCTATGAAGTGGCTGCAGGATGACTGCATGATCTCAGTAGAGCGTCATGCCTTTTTTTTTTTCTTTTTAGTCTTTGAGGCTTCTAGAATACCCTTTAAAAATGTGGTTACTCCTAGGAGCAATAGCACCAATTATCTCCTCTGTAGGGAGAATTGGTCATAGTAGTGACTCTATGGGAAAGGACATCTTCAAAGAAGAGACTGAATACCTATAATTGTGCTGTGTAGCATGGAGGCAGAAAGGTCCAGAATCCCTTAATGATGCAGTGTACACTATAATAAATTGGATATTGAAACAGACATTCTCTATTTCATGATTTCTTCAATTATAGAGTTGTTCTTGGATACTTGCCCAAAAATTTAGATTATGTTTGGAATCTTGTAACAGCCCAGAGACATGTAACTTAGCAAGTGTTGTCTGATTTACAAGATGATATCAGGTCAAGTAGTATTTTTAACTCTTCTCAATCCTCAATACTTCTAGAGAAGCCTCCTCAGAAAAATGTGGCTATTGAAGCTACTATATGAATATTGATTTAAAAAATACAACAAAGAAATAATCTAAAGTGATAAAAAGTGTTGATTTATAGTAGTCAGATAAGTTTTATTTCCATTTCCCTATTTTTTGTTTTATGCAATGGGGTTATATTATTTTTATAACTTAAAAATTTTTAAATGTAAAGCGACTTGTATTTTCTCCTCCTTTGTTTCCCATATCTGTAAATGGCAATCCTGTCTATTAGTTACCTAAGCCGGAAACCAGACTTATCTTTCTCGTTCTCATATCCAACTTCCTACAAGGCGGATTCCACCTGGATACCTTTTAGGTGCTCCAAACTCAACATGCCTAATTTCTAATGCTCACATCTTTCCCCCAAACCTGTTCTGGCTTCTATATTCTCAGTCTTGAGGAATATACTGATCTATTCAGTCACTCGAGCCAGGAGCCTGGGCATTATATCTGAGTCCTGCTCCTGTACCCCTGTCCGCATCCAGTGTATCACCAAGTCTCCATCACTGTAGGCTACCATCATCTCTCACTTACTGAGAGAGCCATCTTCCCGACTGACGTCGCTGTGTCCCCTCTTGCCCCCATCCATTTCATTCTCTACAGCCAGTGAGTTTTCTAAAATACCAGTCTCGTTATGTTTCTCCAACACTTAAAATCTGTCATTAGCTTCTTAGTGCTTGTTTTTCTTTATTGCTTTTAAAATAAAGTCCCAAATTCTTGATGTAGCCTCAAAGCCCCTTCAAAATCTGGGCAGCCTCCTTTCTCTATACACTTTGAATTCCTTTCCCTGGAAAAGACAAATTTCTTCCATTCTGATCCTTTTCATATTCTGTTTTCTCAGCTTGGAATGTGCTTTTCCTTACCTCTTCTGGCTAACTCTATTCATCTTTCTATTTTTAACTTAGATATTCCCCAAGGAATATCTAATGAATAAACATAGGATTAGCTGTGGATAATCAGCTTTCTGATAATTCCACTGTTGTGAAATCTTTTAAGTAAGGTGATTTTAGAATCGTGCTTCCATCATTTTTATTATGAAAACTTTCAAACATACAAGAAAGTTGAAAGAATAGTACAATGAACACCAGTAGGTCCACCACCAAGATTCAAAAAATGTTAACGTTTTTTCATATTTGCTTTATCTGCGTATCTGTTCTTTGATAAACCATTTGAAAAGTTGTAGACATCACGACACTTCACCTTTGAATAACTCAGCATACATCTTCTAAGCATAAGGACGTTTTTCTACATAACCATAATACCATAAGCCCAGCTAAAAAAAATTAACAGTACCCCACTGATCTTCACTAATATTATCTAATATCTTGTTCAGTGCTTCCTGAAGTGTGGTCTGCAGACTGATGGTTCACAGGGAGATGAGGAGCTTGCACCAGAGTGTGTATCAGTGCACCACGTTCTTCATCAAGAAAATCTTGTTATCAAAAAGAGCAACCAAATTAAACAGTGTGCTTAGTGACATAGTTCATTTATATCTGTGGGCTGCCTGAGTAGCACTGCTCCGTATTCAGATTTCCCTAGCTCTCCCCTAAATGTCTTTTGTGGCCAGTTCACATGTTGCATTTGGTTATTGTGTCTCTCTTTAGTCTCTTTTAATCCAGAACATTCTTCCCACTTTTTTTTTTTTTCATGGCACTGACTTTTAGAGACCAGGTCTGCCCCACATCATGGATCTGTCTGATTGTAGGGTGACTAACTGCCCTGGTTTGCCTAGGACTATCCTGGTTTTGGCACTGATCCTGCATCCCGACACACCCCTCAGTCCTGGGCAAACCAGGGTGGTGTGTTTCCTTATGGTGATGTTCAGCTCCTCCTTCAGCCCTGAAATTTACGTAAAACGGAAGTTGTTTGGTCAAGAGGCTTGATTAGATTCAGATTAAACCATTTTTGACAAAAATACTTCATAAATGATGCTGTGTATGTTATGTTACATCTCATCAAGAGGCATGTAATGTCAGTTGTCCACTCTTAGTAAAGGTGATGATTAACAAGAAATAATAACAATTAATAATATAATTAACAAGAAATCTGGTGGATGTTACTTTGGTACCTTGTGACTCTTCTGTTCCCCAATATTTATCACCTAAAGATTTTAGCGTCCATCACTTACTATTTCTGGACTCAGTAATTTGTTTTTCCAATTTTTAAAATTTATTTCCTGACTTGGTGATTTAATGGGGGTTGCAAAATGGTGATTTCCTAATTCTGTCATCCAGTCTATGTTTCTTAGCTGGCCTTCTTGTGTAAAGATGAGCTTTTTCTCATCTATAGGATACGAACCAAAAAGGTCAGGTAAAAGCCTAATTCCTTCCCCTTGAATACCAATTTTCAGAGCAAGAATTTGATGTAATAGTTATTTCCAATGGTACTAATTTTATTTATTTTTTGAATATCACTTGACTCAATGTTTTTCTTATTTAAATGCAGTGTTTTACATTCAATTCAATCATTTTCTTTGAAATGCTCAAATTTTCTCCAGTTTGGCCAGTGGGAGTTCCTGTAGGCTGGCTCCCATGTCCTTTTGACATGCCTCCATGAGTCTCTGAGCACTTAGATCTTGGCACAAGATTCCTAGGCTCGCCATACATTTCCCTGCTCCAGTCCTGGAATCAGCCATTTCCAAGGAGACTTTTAATGGAGAATGCTATTTAGAAACCAAGATCTGGATGCTGGATGTTAGAGGCAAAATCTAATAGTACTGTATTCTAGTCTGTGAGCTGTAAAACATTAGTACAGTGACCAACTGTTCTGATTTACTCTGAACTTGGGACTTTCATTGCTAAAACCAGGAGCATCCTAGGCAAATCAGGATAAGTTGGTCACCCTAAATTGGTCACGTTGTTGATACGGTAATGATTAAGGAAGAACAGTGGAAATTGGGGTTGGGACTTATGAACCAGTAGTAGCTAAAGTAGCTGTAAATTCCCAGGAGATTTAATGCTTTTTACTAAATGACCTCTTCCCGCTGTAAAATATCTAGGTCTAGGGCTGTGGAGCGCAAACTTCACTGCACATTAGCATCACCTGGAGAGCAATTTAACAATACTGATCCCTGGGCCCCAGACATGCCAATTTAATTGGTTTAGGGAGGGGCTCAGGCAGCAGTATTTTAAAAATGCCTCCCAGTGATTCTCATGTGCCCCAAGGTTGAGAACCAGTGGTCTAGGTGGGGCTTTACCTTCCAAAGTGTGGCCTCTGGACCAGCAGCATTGGCATCACCTAGGAGCTTGTTAGAAATGCAGACTTTCAGTCTACACCTCAACTGGATTGGAAACTCTGAGGTGGAGCCCAGCCATTTGTGCTTTAATGTGCCCTCCGGATGATTCTCATGCACACTGAAGTCTGAGAACCACTGGTTTAGAGTGGCTGCTGTCGGTCAGGTAAAAATTAGACTGTTGGTGGTAAGCACGATGTAGTCTACACAGAATACTGATAATAATAACGTACACCCAAAATTTCACAATGTTATAAACCATTATGACCTCAATAAAATAATAAAAGAAAATTAAAAAATGAAAAATAAAAAACCGTGGTTCCTGGGGCTTGGGCCCTTCCCCCAGATATTCTGATTTAATTGGTGTCTGGGGTGTGGCCCAAGTATCTGGATTTTTAAAAGATTCCCACCGTGATTCTAATGTGCGGCCAGGGTTATGATCCTCTGATTAGGGCTCTGGTTCCCAAACTTGTCAGCACATTAAAGTTCCCTGGGGATCTTTTAAAACTTCCAAAACCCAGGCCACACTCCAGACCAATTATATCATCACGCTCTCTGGGGGTGAGACTCAGGCGTTGGTAATTTTGAAGTTTTCCCAGAGATTCCAGTGTTCAGCCAGTGTTGAGAACCACAGGGTTAGGGTATTTGTTTTGGGGCTGGAAGGGAGAAGAGAATGACTGTCATCTGCTGAGATTTAAGTCTCCCAACCTTCACCTTCAAAATCACATTGCCAATTTATAATTTACAGAGTCATCATTGTCATTTTTCTAAGAAATATATTTCAAAATGGGCTGCCCATAAAGTACCGTCATGAACCAATTGAAGCTCCCTTAGAGCTCACCAATTAGTACAAATGCAAAAGGACAATTGAAATGAAATATAATTATTATGTCCCAGACTTAAAAATTTTCCATCAGCTCACTCGATTCCATCATGAAATGTATTTCCACATCCTATTTCCCCTTGTTTCTTCTCAAAGGAGACTAAGTGGAGTGGCAATGCCGACATCTAGCCCAGAACAACACAATGGAGGAATATGTCAGTATCAAGTCACTCTTAACTGTTAAGGATCCTCAGGGTGTGTGGAGAGGAGAGGTCTTGCTCTGAGGACCCAGAAAAGGAATTTAAATATTAAAGGTGCTGGAATTCCTGGCTTGCATTTACTGATCACTTTTACTTGGAACCAGTTCAAGGAATACCTGAGAAGAGAGGGCTATGTTATACTTAGCTGTTTACTAGTCTCTCTCCTCCAACTAGACTGTAAGGTTTGAGGGGACAAGGGCTATATCCTGTTCAGTGTGGTATCTCTGTCTAGCACCTAGCACAGTGTCTGAAATGTGGCAAGTGCTCAAAGAGGCAATATAGCATACTGGTCAAGAGAACTGGCTTTGGAATCAGGCTGACCTGGCCTTGAATCCTGGCTCTGTCACTTATATGCTGTGTGACCTTGGATGAGTGACTTAACCTCTCCAACCCTCTGTTCCTGACCCGTCTCCCTGCAAAAGAAGGGTACTTACCTCACAGGATTGTTGTGACCCATTCAGCAAAACAATATATGTAAAGCACTTTGCAAATTGTCTGGCACATAGTTGGCACGCATTAAGTGGGAGTTATTCTTAATAATCCGATTATTTGTTGAAGGAATAAATGGATGTCGTAGTCTGCTTTCCCTTCCCACTCTTGAGATCAACAAGCAAAAATAACCTAATCAATTTGCTTTCTCTAAGATTTCAATACTTAATTTAAGGTAAACAAAACCAAACACACATTGGCAAGAGTCCCTTCCCTGTTGGTGTGGGTGTTTCTCAGCATTTATGTTATAGTCAGATATTACAGCTTCTAGTACAAAGTTTAAATACAGTTTGAAGAAAAATGAAGCATAGAAAACAGATATGGAAGGCCATCCCTCATTTTGTTACCCTCATAATATTGGTTGCTGAAATAATCCACTTGTCAAATCCCTTTGTACTACTGTGAGAAGTGCTAATGTAAGACGTGTTTTCTGAAAATCACCGTGATGAGGTGTCGTGAATTAAGGGCTTTGGTGCAGAAGTGATGGAGTTCCCTTCTGGGTAGAATAGCTCAGGATCATCAGCTGCCCAGAACATTTATTGACTTGCCCTTTCCTGCTCCTAAAAGGAAACTTGTTTCTAGGGGTGGGTTTTTTTGTTTGAATTAAACGTACTCTAAATGCTGCATGGGATCCTGGACTGTACCCTGATCAGAAGAAGGACATTAGTGGAAAAACCAGTGAACTCTGAAGACCGTCTGTAATTTAGTAAATAGTATTGTGCTAATGTTAATATCATAGTTTTGATCAATATACCCGAGTTTTGTGAGATATTAACATTAGGGGAAGCTGGGTGAAGGGTATACGGGAACTCTGTGTACCATATTTACAACTTTTCTGTAAATCTAAAATTATTTCAAAATACATTAAAGAAAAAACCTAAGTACAGTCTTTAGAAAACTAAACATACTGATTGAAAGCTAATTCTAGAAAAACCAAGTCTGGGCAGGTGTTGAGACCACGGCCCCAGAGAGACAATAGTGCTCACCCAGATACCCAGATGTGTGCTAGATGTTTGACTAACTGTAAACACCACCCGTGACAAGGTGACAAGAGATTAGGGGTGGGGGGTAGCAGGTAGCAATTCTTTTACAATAAAGAATTTCTGGCAGCCTACCAACAAACAGTTCCTTTCTGTCAGTATAAGCTGGCCTAGTTCAAAACACAGCAGCCTCACTTAAAAGAGGTCCAAACATATAAGTTTTTTTAAACTCCCATCTTAGAGTTTGTTTGGCTAGGTGTTTGGAAGGAATTTCTCATTGTAGTGCTAAACCTGAAATGGTAGTTGTACCCTGAACAGGAGAAGGAGTGGGAAGAGGAAGGATCCAGCCCATTTTAAAGCACCAGGCCCCTCAGCATTCAGTTCTTCTTTATTCCCTGAGTGAAATGGTCTGCAGAGTTAACTCCTGTGTCAGTTAAAAGACAGGTGTGTCAGTAACCTAGTGTGACCAGCATGACAATCTGAAAAAATGTATTATTACAAATGGTGTTGGCAGAGGGGGAGTGGAATCTAAAAGGACTATGGCACTCTTCATTCTCTTAGGTTCTTTAGGGATGAACTCTTTTATGTATGTTTTCCATAGTTATGATCAGCATGTGTACCTGCTATTTTGTATTTTGCTGTTTTCACTTAACATTATTTCACATTCTGGTTCCCGCGTGCACAGTGCACCTAATTGTCATCTTTAATGGCCGTGTAACATTCCATTGTATTGAATAGCATGATAGTTCTTAGGACTAGGCTCATTTTTCTGAGGAGATATAAAAGGCCTGCTGTCTCTTAGCACCAGAGGTCTATTTTAGTTCCTGGAAGTGGCGACTGGCATGAGTGTGGGATTGCGTGGGATCCCTGAGTCATCGTTGCACAGCACAGTTTGAGTGCTTTGTTAACATCGGTCTGCCTGCTACCCATCAGCAGAGCTTCCTGGGCTCCCTGGACCTGAGCCGGACACTTCATGGGCACAGGGGCAGAAAGAGAAGCCCCCTGACTCCCATGACCCTCAGCTGGTACTCTCTCTGTGCCAACAACGGGAAGTTCCTGCTGCTTTCTCTCTTGCCTGGGGTAACAACTCCACCTGTGTTTCCCACAGAGCTCGATATGAGAGAAAAAGGAAGAGGAGTGGGAGGATGGATTATTATAGCTAAAGGAATAAGGCACAGGTCAGGAGTGCCATGTCTACAGTTCCTTTAGGTGCATCTGTGAAAATGAAGTGAGATGATAAAATGATTTTAAGTCCTGGAAAGCTGGCCAATAGCTCTCGTTCTCTACACCCCTTTCTGCCAAATCCACGTTTTGGCCACTGGATAAAGGGTGTACAGGGGTCAGTGACAAAGCAATGAGTCCAGGGTTGACCCCTATCCTACCCATGGCCAATGGCATTTTATACTTAAGAACAGATTCTCCTGAGAAGAGTGGTTTTGTGTGCGGTACACTTGGTTAAGCCTTGCCAGTAGCAACTGTCTTGAAAACGAGTGATTCTAAATAGGTTATTGGGAGGGAAGAATGATATTCCGAGCACAACGGGTATGGCCCAAGCACCAAACACTCACATCTCCAGGGGATTTATAGCTAGGTTAGCTACTACTGGTTTCCGTGCTCCAACCCTAAATTATCACGGTTCTTCCTTAACCCTTAGTGTGTACGAACAAGAGGACCCGTGTACTGCGGATCACACTAGATGCCAACCCTGCTGCTAGGGTACCACAGGGTGGGTAGAAACAACATACGAATGAAGCGTGGCGACAGATGTCAGGAGTTGAAAACCATTCAGAACAGAGGGCCCCCTCTGCCTGTGCATATTGAATTCTCTAGTCAGAAAGCCCAGGCCTGTCTTGCAAGACAAAATGGATAAGTACCCAGAGCCACGTGGGGCTTGTTGAATGATAGGCCAGAGTCATGTGCTTGAAGGGTCTCTGACAGGAGCTAGGCTTTAAAAGTCCTGGAGGAGGGAGGCCAAGACCTTGACAATGAAAGAGAGAAACTCCGAGGCAACCACTTGCCTGAAAGAAAATTTGCCCTCTAGGCTCAAGAAACTATTGTTAATCTTGGTCCCTAGGCTGCCACGCTGAGACTTAGGTTCCTAAACCTCTTTGGCAGGTTTAGGATTCTCAAAGACAAGGGTATGGGGGGCGGTGGTTGGCGGTGGTCATAGTTACCTTCGTTTCTCTATGCTCTTTGTACTTTAGAAGCTAAGACGTCTCTCTTTCACTTGTTCTTTGCAGAAAAGAGGATGCCTGTCCCAGAAGGGGGGTACAGCTGTCTAATGATCTAAGCTCCTCCCCTAATGATAATAATAGTAGCTAACATTTAACGAGCTACTTATGTGCTGAGCACTATGCTAAGCATTTTTATGTGGATTGTCCCCTTTGATCCTCACAACAAGCCTATGAGGTAGGTACTCTTATTCCTGTCTTCACTGGGGGACATTGCCAGGTCACTCAGCTTGATGTAGAGTTTGGAAAGTGCAGTAACAGCCTGCAGCAACAAAATTAAGACTCACTCAAAAATAAATAAGGGTATGCTGGCTGTATTTGGGGGATATTCTTTAAATGACTTTTTGTGACTGCTAGATTCTGTGTCGGAAAATTTGGTTGACACCCAGGGACACATATATTGTACGAAGTGTGCCAATATACTGAAATTCAGTTTTTGGGGTTTGTTTTGGTTTATTTTTTATATTTTTAAAATTCTTCCTTTTTCTCCCCAAAGTCCCCCGGTACATAGTTGTGTATTCTTCGTTGTGGGTTCTTCTAGTTGTGGCATGTGGGATGCTGCCTCAGCATGACCTGACGAGCGGCGCCACGTCTATGCACAGGATTCGAACCGGCGAAACCCTGGGCCGCCAAAGCAGAGCACGTGAACCCAATCACTCAGCCACGGGGTCAGCCCCAGTTTTCTTTTTTTTTTAAGATTTTATTTTTCCTTCTTCTCCCCAAAGCCCCCCGGTACATAGTTGTATATATTTTTAGTTGTGGGTCCTTCTAGTTGTGGCATGTGGGACATTGCCTCAGCATGGCTTGATGAGCAGTGCTAGGTCGGTGCCCAGGATCTCAACTTGTGAAATCCTGGGCTGCCGAAGCAGAGCACGTGAACTTAACCGCTCGGCCACGGGGCCCACTCCTGAAATTCAGTTTTGTTGTTTCAACCTAAATTCTCCACCCTACCCACATTCATAGGTGGCACTCCCACCCCTTTCAGCCACACTTCTCCTTCCCTCTTGGCTGAGAAAGTCTGCCTGCCTCATAAACGTACATGCCATAAAGAGAAATGTGGATGATCCAATTTTCTTAAGAACCTTGGTTGGTTGAATTACAATCTCCTGCCTGATAAAACTCTTCTTCAGTAGAGAGATTTGCTGTATCCCCATGTGAGAGTGATTGTCAGCAGAATTCTCCAGTGATATTTATCAGGCAAATTGGAGGAAAGTAGGTGGGTCAAGGTGGCCAGAAGACGACCCAGAAAAGATGTAGTATTTTTGGATAGAGAAGATAGAGCACTGGCCCAGGCACACAGGAGATGTGGATTTGAGGAGCATGTCTGTCAGCGATCAGCTTTACAATCTTGGACAAGTCACTTAACCTGTCTGTACCCCAAGTTCTTCATCTGTTTAACGACTGGGGTTGGACTAGAGGCTCTGTAAGGTTTTTTCCAGCTCCATGACTCAGAAGCTGAGCCTCAGTCAGAATCCTGTCAAAGACTCACAAGATGCCTCGAGTGGTTCCCTTGGAGATAAGGCCATAGGCAATGCATAATAGCAAATAATGCAGCCTTAGACAGCGTGAGACCCTCCAGATGGGTTTGTAAGACTGATCTTTCTGTGCAAGGTTTCTATCCCCCAGAAACAATTATGGGTTAGTTGGTTTATAGTGCTTGGCGAGACCGTATAGGGTAGGAGTTAAGAGCATGAGTTATGGAGTGGGACCTTAGTTTGAAAACCAGTTCTGCTACTTCCTAGTGGGTGCCCTGAGACAAATGATTTGACCTCTCTGAACATTAGTTTCTGCCTCTGTAAGATGATGATAATAGAGCCGACCTCATAGGCTTGTGAAGATGAAAGGCAATAATGTATGTAAAGCACTTAGTCCAGCACCCGGCCAAATGGAAGTGCTCAGTCGGTCATGTCTGCTCCTACTGTTGGTGTGCTTATTGTCATCCATGTAATTCTCCTGACATGGGCGTGGCTAAGCTGCAGCATTTTTCCTGAATGTAGCTTTCTCTTTCTGGATAGAGTTTGGGAAAAGCATAAGCACATCTTTCTGGCCCAAAGTACTTCGACAGTCAGGTCTGGATTCAATTCCCTCCTCTGCTGCGTACAGGCTGTGGGACCTTGGACAAGTTATTTAACTTCTCTGCCCCTTAGTTTTGGAGTCTGTAAAATGCAGGCAGGTATACTACCTACCCTCAAGGGTTGTTGTGAATAAGATAATGAATGTGAAGAACTTAGTGCTGTGCCTGACACCCAGAAGGCACTCAATAAATGGTGGCTGTGGTACTGAAGGTGAAAGTAATAGTCGTAGCAATAATAAATAACTACCACCACTGCTGCTACCCCTCTGGGTTGGAGGGTGGAATTGCATTCAAGCTCATACAGTTTTTGTGTACCTAGGAGAGGCAGCAACTGCTGTTCCTCAAGGGACAGCAAAGGAATTGTCGCCAGCCTTCACAGGCAGTGGCTGGACATTTAAAACCAAGTTGTTTTTGGAAGCGTGACTGAATATGATTGAGCAGAGCCCAATTTTCAGCAGAAAAGTTCTGTTTATTTCTGCTAGTCCCTTTACATCCAGGAACCTTAGGGGAAAGATGTAATTCTAAATTGACCCTGTATTTCTAAGGCTGAATTTCAGTTGGTCACCCACGATATGTTGTTCTCAGGCTTCATCAGGAGCATCTGGGTGCAAAGACATAAAATCTCTGTTCTTCTTTGCTAAGGTCATCTTCATTCTCAAATGGATGCCACCTAAGTTTCCTTCAGCCTCTCGGTGGGTATAAGATTCATTTAATGGCTAGAATGAGACACTGGAACAATGGGGGTTCTCAGGGATGGGGTGCTAAGAGTAGATGGAGCTGTAGAGGAACTATAGAGATGTTAGCAAACAGAAAGTGAAAAACTGAGTAGTCCTAATGGTTGTGGAGAGGAGCCCATTGACTGAAGGAGGGATATCAGATGTTTCTTTTGACTTCCCTCCATTTTTCTCTTCAGTACTCTGTTAAAAGTCGTAAGAGAAAAAAAAAACAGTCACTGCAAGCAAAGCTAAGCTTCAGCTTTCCTGTCCTTCCCAGACCACTCCAGGTTAGGAGGCTGTCGGCCACTTCTCAAGGGGGTATAGACTGCACCCCACCTGCCACCCGCCCTCTACCCTGGCTTCATACTTTCAGTCTTGCTTTCTCCCCTATCCCCTTGATTTAAGGAATGCTAACCACAGGATTTGAGGACTTCTTCACAGGAACTCTCCAGCAATATCTCCTCTGCGTCCCAGGAGTCCATTCTGCTTTTTGCCCTGGGTTCTGAGGTTATGGAAATGAAAAATGAATTTCAGTTTTGGATAGAGATTTAGGGGTAGTTTCTGACATCTAGAAAAACACTTCCTCTGCTCTTAAACTCTCATCCTCACCCCTCATCCCCACAGCAGTGCCTCTCTCCTCCTTGGTGGCCCTGGCCAAATCCAGGCCTCGATGTATAGACGTAACAAGCCAAGGCTCTGGGGTAGCCTGAAGGGCCAGATCCCTTGGAGAGCAGAGGTGACATTATAAGATTGACAGTTGACCGTTGTGGAGACTGGGGTCCCTAGGAACACTGAGGAATGGCCATTAACAACAATGAGCCTTCAAATCCTCATAGCTTTTTTTTTAATGCCTTTATTGTGTTGGGAGAAATGATGTCTGTTTATTATGAAAAAAATTTTCTAATAAAAATCTAAAGGGTACCTAGGCCTTTTACTTCTCAAAATTGCCTAGTATCTCATCCTAGAGAAAACCACTGCTAATGTTTTGGTGATTTCCCTCCAGATATTCTTTGCATGTATATGCATCATGCTGTACGTGCTATACTCTGACTTGCCATTTTCCCTAACAAAACACTAGTTGTGAAAAACTTTGTGTCACTAAATGTAAGCCAACATTAGCCCTTTTAGAGTCTGTGTAGCATTCTACTGTGTGGATGCACCATAATTTATTCAACCATTCCCCATTGTTAGCCATTTAGCTTGTTTCTAGCTTTTAGCTGTTGTACACAAAGCTTTGGTTAAAAAAACATGAGCATTTTTTTGGTACTTATATAATTATCTTTGGATACAGTTCAAAAGAAGGGGGTTTGGCTCATAGAGTTTCCACATTTTTAAAGTTATCAATATATATATTGAGAGAGGGAGAGCAGGAGGGAGACAGACAACCAATATACACTCCATAAAAGTTGTACCAATTTGTACTTCTAACACTGGAAATCATAACCTTTAAGATAACCCTATAGCCATCAAAGCAAAGATCTTGTGTCAGCCAGTGCTGGGGCATCATCCTGGGCTACCAGTTAGTGGTCCCCAAGTATGCTCTCTGTACTTAATCCACTTCTCCTTCCACTGACCAGCAACCATAGTATGAGAAAAGAGTTTCAGGCTCAAAGTAGGAATGCTGCTTCATAAATTGAGAGAGAAGGCCTACGTATCTTTTCTTTGACTAAAGTCTGATCCAGCATTACCTTCAAAATGATTGTCAGCAACATATGGAGCTGGGGGCTGGGAGTCATCACCCGGTTTGTAGTAAAGCTCAGTTGTATTCCGAGCTCCATTTCTTCCAGAACATTCACCTTCCTTCGTGGGTTCGTCTAAAGCAAATGTTACCGATATATTCTTTTTAGGTCTTAATCTTAACTCTTCTTTCTGTGCAGCAAGAAGATGGAGAAAAAAAAGTCAGTCTGTGCCCGAGAGTTCAAGGATTGGTCCTTGGGGCAATAACATTTAAAGAGCCATTTACGTGGAGGATTGGCTTTAGGGGCCTAGCTTCCATGGAGCATGGTCCTAGATGCTGTCTTTTTGCTTTGGATGTTCCCATCCTGGTAGTGAAGCTGGGGAAGATAGGAAGGACAAAGTAATAGTGAAAACAGACACACTTCAAGCTCCTTAATCAAATGCAGCTATTACCCATCCCTGCCATACGCCTTTGGACAATGAAAGGGACAACAAAGCAAGAGGACATTTAGGCCTTTTACTCCTCAAAACTTTGGTCACTTTCTGTTTTCTTTCTTTTTCTTTTCTTCTTTCCCGTATTCCTGTTCTCTCCCATCTTTCCTTATTATTGAGAGGATAAGCGAACTGGAAGAGGAGAATGTGGGGTAACTCTAGAACATTCATCCATAGACTATTACCAATAAGCTCCTTAAGGGGCTCCTCCTTTTCTCTTCCACATGGCAAACCAGGGAATAGAAACCCTGTTTTGGAGAAATTCTAATGCTGATAGGTTGGCTTTACCTTTATACAACTCATCCCACTTACGTGACCACTCAAATTGTGCTGGGGGGAGGTGTACCTCACAATGTTGGAATGTTCATGGTCACTGCCCTAGCCCCATTTGAGCCAACTGAGCTTGAGAGACTTGCTCAGCACTACACAGAATCCAAGCACCTCCCAGAATTCCCTGCTTATGTTGAAGACTGACTCCTGCATCTATTCTTATCAGTACACCTATCAGAGGCAGCTCAGTACCTGTCCGATGGCCATCTTGCACCAGAGCCTCTGGTACTCTTGGAGGTTGGAAGGCTCGAGGTGAGTGGCTGTTGACGAGTACATAGCTCTTCATGTTTATCCCCAATAGCAGCTAACAGCCAGCGTAACCCTTCAATTATGGACTGATGGTTCCTTCTTTGGAGGTTATTGATGGCTGAACAGGGTTCCTGCGTCAAAAAGACAAGAGAGGGCTCCAGCCCAGGAGCCTGGGACCCCTGGGGCCCAGAGTCTCAATCACTCTCAGCCAAAGAGCAGAGGTACATATAAGCTCTGCTGTGCCTAGAGAGGCTGTAAGACTTCCTGGGAGACACTCAGCATTCACTCCTGAGAAGGTAAATGAGAGATACAAAAGCTAAGGTCCTTTAATAAAGTGATTGTGGTGTAATATCTTGGATGTGTGACCTTGGGAAAGTCACTCAGAGTCTCTGAGCCTTAGCTTTCTTAGACATAAAATGAGGATTTTGAAACGTTCAACTTTACACAGCTATTTTGAATACCTAATGAGAAAACAGATGTGAAAGTGTTATAAGAATGTGATATTTGGGCCGGCCCAGTGGTGCAGCGGTTAAGTTCACACGTTCTGCTTCTTGGTGGCCCAGGGTTCACCGGTTCCGATCCCGGGTGTGAACATGGCACCACTTGGCACGCCATGTTGTGGTAGGCGTCCCACATATAAAGTAGAGGAAGATGAGCATGGGTGTTAGCTCAGGGCCAGTCTTCCTCAGTGAAAAAAGGAGGATTGGCAGCAGTTAGCTCAGGGCTAATCTTCCTCAAAAAAAAAAAAAAAGAATGTGATATTTATTATCACCATTGGGTCAGAAATCATCATTGTAGATGTTGCCTCATGGGGAGACGTTTTGCCTGAGACCCAGCCTATGGGGCTGATTATGGAATGGGCCGAGGGATGCATCAGCTAGGCTCAAGGTGGGGAGGGGTTGACACTTACCACTCGGCACAGGGACTTGTTCTCATTCACTAGCCTTTCCAGGAGTAGATATTCGACAATATCACAAGGTAAGAGGGCGTTCTTCTTGTCTTGTTTGTTTGCCATGCTAGAGCAGGGCATAGGAGAGAGGGAGGGAAGAAGAGAGGGAGAGTGAGACAGAGACAGAGGCCAAGGGCAAGAAAAGAAGGGAAAGGGGAGAGAACCATTTCTGGTACAACTGCTGCATATCCAGGAACTTGCTTTAAAGACATACCCAATGAGACGAGCCAGACGTTTTTCTAGCCAGCTCTCAGTGGACGAAAGAATACCACAAATAATTTGAATCTAGGATAATCCCCAGGCCTCATTTCTAACTTCCTCTACACTACGCCATCAAACTTTAATTAAAATTGTTAGCTGGGATATGAACAGATTTGGAGTTTTTACATTCTCTTCCAAACTCTCTTCATGCTTGAGTTAGGGGTGCTAATGAGGAACGAAAAGGGCGAAAAGGGAGTGGGGGAGGGGTGAGGACTGCCAGGCCACCTGAATCACTACCCTGGAGTGAGTGCTAGTTAGATAACCATTGGACAGTCTACCAAGGGTAACAGCCATCGGCATCAATTATACAAAATAGGGGATGTTTTCTGCCACTGTCTCAGGATCAGATACTGAAGCCAGAAAAGAGAAGCAAACTCAGGAAGGCAGTCTTCAGGAAGAGTCGAGGGATGGGGGTGGAAGATCCAGATATCACTCTCCATTTCTCTCTGATGCTTGCCTTCAAAGTTATCTTTGCACAGTTTGGTAACATGTTCCCCCATGTGTCATAGAAAGTGGCTCTTGGAAATAGCCCCCAGAGGACTGGGTCATTCCCCCTCACTGAGCCAAAGGGACGAGGAGGTCTAGATGGAGGTGACAAAGGGATCCCCCAGCCCTTCCTGTGTCTAATTCTCTTCTGAAAGCACAAAATGGGAAGGGGAAATGGAGCACAAAGGCAGAGTCTTACAGCAGGATGGGTTTCCCTGCCACTCTTTTGTCAGACAGCAGACGTGTTAGGATGATCTTCACTTCCTGCATGCGTTCTAAGTCGCTGGAATCCAGGACAAAAACAAGCCCGTGTGCCTGTGCATAGTAGTTTGGCCAGATTTCTCGTCCCTTCTTGTCTCCGTTCAGGTCATAGATGGAAACTTCATACTCATCCAGCAGGAGTGTAGTTAGCTCAGATTTCAGGCAATGGCCCATCCTACTGGGAAGTACTATGCATAGGGGAGGAGAGGAGAAGCAACCACGGGGTAGGGGAATATAGTTAGATGAAGAATTTGTTAGTGATCTGAACCTTGATAAGAGCCTGCCCTGAGGCATCTTGCCGCCCTGCTGACACTCATGGATTCATCTTCCTAACCTGGCCTTTGCCTGTGTTCCCCTCTCCTGGCTCAGTAACCTTCAGTGAGTGCCCACCGCTCCCAGGGTAGAATACAGACTCCTTTGCCTCCTAACCTGCCAGACCCATCTCCACCTGACTGGTGTCCACAGTGTCCCTGGTACACACCCCATCTCTTCCTCCCTCTGCTCCTTGGCTCACACTCCCTCCACTTCACAAGAATGCCATAGCCTCTCTTGCCCTGGGCCTTCACAAGATGCTATTCCCGCTGTTTAGAACACTCTTCCACTACTCTTTGTTTGGTTAATGCCTATTTAAAAAAAAAAAAAAATATATATATATATATATATATATATATATATATATATCAATTTAGATCTTGTTTCCTCTAGAAAGTTTTCCTTAACTCATGCCACCATCCTGTAGTCTGGATTGAGATGTATTTCTTCTGGGTTTACCACTATCACAGCACATATTACAGTGTTGTAAATTCTGTGATTTACTTGTCTGAGTTATAAACTGCAACAGGACAGGAACTCTGTCAATTTTATTTACCATTATATTCACGACGCCAAGCACAGAAGCTGGCATACAGGTACTCAATGAATGTTTGTTGCATGAATTTGGTAAATGAATGAATGAGTGAACAGGAGGCCCTGCTCTCCCACCCTTTCTCCAAGGCCCAGCTCAAGTACCACTTCCTTTAGGAAGCTTCTCTGACCTGCCCCGCTCTCACTTCTCTCTCTCATTGAGCACGTGGTCTGTTAAACTGGTCCTTCACCTCATTCTGTGCGTGCCCTGTCTCCCCAACTAAAATATAAGCTCTGTAGGGGAGGGGCTTGGCTCTGCATTACCTTACACACAGTAGATGTTCAATATATGTTTATGGTGCCTGTTACTGTGGATGAGGGTATGAAGTCCTCTTCCTCATATTTCCTCCAAGAAACTGTGCCAAACTCAGATACATTTGCCTTTTCAAGGCTATGGCCAGAGCATACAATCCCATAGGGCATTCCATACCTCATTCAGCTCCCATACAAAAGCAGTTCAAAATGACAGTCTTTATACACATTCTGGTCTGTTGGACGGACAGTTTTGGCCTATCTCTCTGCCCACATTAGTAACAAAATGATTTTATAGATTCTCTGCACTCATACCTGCAAATTCTACGACCAAATCAATAGCTTATTTATAGTCTCAGATCTACCTGTGACATTTTCCATAGGATTGCCAGAATGAGCCATTTAGCTGCGAAGTTAGTAAGATGCTTTCAGATCTTTGGAAGTGTATGATTATATATACATTTACACGTATACATATATATCTATGTGTATACGTGTACATATTACGTTTTAATGTGATCTTATAACTCCTGTTTTCATGTTAGTCAATGATCTTTTTAATTATAGCTTTCATATAACATAATTTTCAGTCACAGCTTTGATGTGATATTTGCTATGTCTATATTAGACTACTTAAAAATAAGTGAATAGGTTAAAACTCTAAAGGTAATTTTTAAATCTTGTTTCCTGCATTGAGGCAAGCTTTATAGTATTTCTTTTCCCTGTCAGAGTACATTTCCCTTTTTTTTCTTTTTACTTGAAACCTTGCCACTTCCTTTAATAATGCAGTCTATTGTTGAACCCTAGAAGCCACGAGAAGTTGTTCTTTAACAATTTACTTTTATTTCCTCTATTAACTTATAAACTCCCTGAGGACAGGTACTGAGTCTAACTCATCTCTATGTCCCTGGGAGTGTTTCCTAAAGCACAGGCTAGGGACTATCTGCTTCGGAGTTGCATGTGGGTGATTGTGAAGTCCTACCCTACACCAAATGAATCAGAATCTCTACACTTGGGATCCAAGCATTTGTGTATTTAACAAACTCCTACATGTAACAAAAGCCCCAGGTGATTCTTCTGTGCCTTAAAGCTTGAGATGCACTGCCCTAGAGAGCAATGAAACTCATGCCTGTTGTGTCTGAGCATCATCTGGTGCACTCGTTAAGGTTTTGATACTGTAGGCCCTGCACAGACAAAGTATCTGAAGCTCCAGGTCCCGGGTCAGTAGGTGTGAAAGCTCCCGAGGTGGTGCTGATTTTTGGCTCCCAGTACTCAGTATGCTCCAGGATCATCTGTGGAATTTTTAAAACCTATGACACTAGGCCTCATTCTCTGAGGCTTTAATGCCACAGATCTGGAGTGGGGCTCAAGCATCATATTGTTTTTTTTTAAAACACTCCCCAGGTGGTTGAAATGTATAGCCCGGTTTGAGAGGCACTGCTATAAACACCCTTATTTAGGGCACCTGCTTATGCTCAGGCTTAGGTTTCTTGCGCCCCCCCCCCAACTCCAACCATATAACTCCAGACAAAATAGTTATAGTGAATGGTGTCATCGATAATAATGGCTTGTGTCCCAATATATTTTATAGCTGGCATCTTCAGATGTTCACACAAATTACTACTTGTGGTTTGAGATTCCCTTCCTAGGTTATTACCTGTTCTTGGCAATCATAAACATTTGCAGGGGCAGGGGAGGTGAGCTATTGCATTTTGGGTACAGAGCAATGGGCTTTGGTAGTCCTACATGGACAGAGGTGGCCTGAGACATTCTTCAGAATGTGACATCAGTGGCACTTTGCTTCTTGGCCATTAAAAACTCCTTTGTGAATGAAGTCATAACCATAAACCTATTGGTTTATGAATCAGCCCCAAGTTATTCACCAAGCACAAGGCAAGCTATACAAGTAAGAAATTAAATAGAGTTCAGGCTCTCTCCTCTCACAATTAGAATGGAAAGCAGGCACTATTCTCACAGACCAAATAACATTCGGCTAATTGCATATGAGTGCTTCCCCAAGCTGGCTGGCCATCAGAAACACCCAGGGAGTTCTTAAAATGTAGGTTCCCAGGCCCCACCCAGACTGGACGGGAATCTACGGGTAAGGCTGAGTTGGGGCTCTAAAAAAATCATCCCCACTTTTATCAATAATCTTGTCATTTATCCTGGCTCCTGGATTTCTATGCTGCTGTTCACCTGTTTTTCTTTTTTAAAACCATTTCTGCCTGTCAGAGAATTGGGAGAGGCAAGGAGTCAAGTTTGCTGCATATAAGGTGGGCTACTAGGCTGAACCATTGGCTAAAAGGTGTTGCTTGGGGCTGCCACTCTCGGAGTTGGGGGAGGAGTGGGGAGGGAGAAGTTGTCAAGAGACAACACATAACCTGAGGAGACTGGAATTGGGGAGAACATTCAGTCCCCAAATATTTATTGAGTACCTACCCGAAGGTACTAAAAAGTACAGAGACTAAAGATACAGAGCTGAAAAGAGCCATTACTTCTCCTCCGGGGCCTCACAGTCTAGGGAATGGACTTGTAGTTGTGCAGAGATGTTGTGATAAGTGCATGATAGAGGGAGGTACAGAATAGAGTGGGAGCCGAGGAAGGAGGTGCTGGACGTTAGGGATGACTTTCCTGAGGGTAAGTTTAGGCTGTGTCTCAAGGTGTGTGATTAAGCAGGTAGATAATGGAGGGGATGAAATGCTAGGTAGTGGGACAGCATGTACAGAAAACGTGGGCATGTGAACTAGAATGGTATGATGGCAGAGGAATGGCCATTTGTTTTGGCTCTATTGGCGGGCATATGTGGAGAGCATGGGAAATGAAGCTGGAGGAGAAGTCAGGGACCAAATGATGGAGAACCTTGTGTGCTGCTAGGGAACTTAAGTTTTATTTTGATGACAATGGGGAGTCATTAAATGATTTTGAGCAGAGAGGTACCATGATCAGATTTTTGCATTAAGTCCTTCAGGCAACTGTGTTCACCGAATACTGAGGGGACAGGTAGAGATGGCAAGATCAGCAAGCAAGCTCTTACTGTAGTTCAAGGAAACTGATGTGGTCTTCAAGTAGGCCAGTGACAGAAGAGTCAGGTTAGCCCCTTCCTGTACTTTGCTGAGGGCTGCTGGCTTATATAAAACTCAGCCACATCATCATACCCATTCTTTAATCAACATCAGTGGAGGGCGTCCTATGCCAGCCACTGTGCTGGGCTCTTTGATTGGCCAGCAGTTAGCGGGGTCTTCACAACTAGAATAGGAGCTCCCTGAAATTCTGTGTAACTGCCACTTGAAATGTCAAGGTATTAGACTGGAGATCTGGTATTTAAATTTGTACATCTCTGAACTGACAACATTTCTCAGGCTCCTACCTTCTATATTAACTGTCACAAAGAGTTTCATTTTATTAAACTTCATCATCCCCCACTTGTCTCTCTTATCTAGACCAAATTCTACTTTAATAGGGCTCTGAAACTAGACACTGTTTCAAACACACTGTCCTTCACAATTGACTGCAGTGCTTCACAGAGTTGGAGCTCATTAATACTGACACTATGAGAGGACCCTCAGTTAAGATACCTTGTAAAGGAGCAGGCGACAGATATTACATAAACAGGCTGATAACACCTGAGGAGAGGGAATCCATGGACTGTGAAGTAAGGCTAGGAGGGAATGATTGTTTCATTGGTCCCTGGGGCCCATGGGAGACCTAAACCAGCATCTACTACTGTTAATTCCTTACGTCTTTGGAAGACCTCCAAAAGAACTGTTTTGCCTGAGTTGTCTAGTCCGATCATAATGATGGTCACACTCCTGGAAATGGAAAAGAAAAATGAGCCAAAGCCTTTAAAGCACGATTACTTGTTAGGCTAAACAAAGAATTGTACTCTTCCTTGGTGTTTGTAGCTCTGCCTGTAGTAGTCCCAATGCAAGTGCCAGAAAAGGCACAGCCAAGGTGGTGTGGGAACTCCTCCCCAAAGCCTCCGAGGACGCTTTTGTTCCGTCATTCACTTGCCTTGTGGAATTGGCCATCCTCCCCTCAGCCCTGCCTCTAATCTTGCACACACTGGTTAATCACTTCCCCTAACAATATATATTATGAAGATTTGTCCCTTGAGGGACTGTGGGAAGAAACATTGGAAGAAATGGTGGGATAGGTCAAGAGAAATAATTGCACTGTTACCTTCGTGTCTCTTGTGTTGTCTTTAGACGAGACCAGCAGGAGGTCAGTAGCCGGAACATGATTCAGCTTAGTGTATTAATGTTAAGGGAAATAAGTAAACAAGAAGACAGCCCCATTATTAACCCTGACCTAAGTCAGCTTCTAACTACACAAGTGCTGATAAACAGAAAGCCTGGAACTGTCGGACGTCCGTTACCTCGTTCTATCCAACCTTGTCTGTAAGTGCCGTAGAGGGAGGGACTGGTTATCCTCAACTCCAGCAGCAGGTTCCTGCAAAATGGGGTGATTTCTTTTTTAAAGATTTTTTTTCCTTTTTCTCCCAAAGCCCCCCAGTACATAGTTGTGTATTTTTAGTTGTGGGTCCTTCTAGTTGTGGCATGTGGGATGCCGCCTCAGCATGACTTGACAAGCAGTGCCACGTCTGCGCCCGATTTGAACTGGCGAAACCCAGGGCTGCCAAAGCAGAGCGCATGAACTTAACCACTCGGCCACGGGGCCGGCCCCTGGAATGATTTCTTATTAAAGCAACCCATACAGGCACTTTGGCATTGGATGTGACCTATCCCTTCAGCCATAGTTTAACCCTGTTAGGAATATCTTCATTCAACCTTGTGGGGGTGGGTGGGGTGATGCCTTGGAGAAGAACCAGCTTAGATTTCAAGAAGGACCTATCGGGAGACCTGTTCTAAGCAACAAGTCTCCTTTGATCTTGGTTCTCTTACAGCCTCTGCTTCAAAAATGTGCGTGTTGATGACCTACTGTCTTAGATTTTATACAATTCCCAGAGCTATAAGGGACCTTAGATCATCTAGTTTAACAGATTTCGAACATCATTCCAGGTGCCCCGCTCTCAGAGATTCCCAGAGTGCTGCATGAGCTCCCCAGGTGATTTCAAAGTGCAGCAATATTTGGGAATGATCACCAAGTAAAAGGGGTAATTTAGACAATCACTTTAAGTTCATCCATGTTGTAGCATATATTAGTATTTCGTTCGTTTCTGTGGCTGAATAATATTCCATTGTATGGCTATAACACATTTTGTTTATCCATTCATCAGTTGATGGACATTTGGATTATTTCTACTTTTTGGCTCCTATGAATAATGCTGCTATGAACATTTGTGTACAAGTTTCTGTGTGGACATAGGTTTTCATTTCTCTTGGGTATATACCTAGGAATGTAATTGCTGGGTCACATGATAACTCTATGTTTACCTTTTGGGGGAAGTGCCAGACTATTTTCCAAAGTGGCTGCAAGATTTTACATTCCCACCAGCAGTGCAGTAGGGTTCCAATTTCTCCACATCCTCACCAACACTTGTTGTTGTCTTTTTGTTTATAGCCATCCTAGTGGATGTGAAGTGGTATCTAATTGTGGTTTTGATTTACATTTTCCTAATGGCTAATTATATTGGAGCCCAGAGCTGGGGGAAGCTCTGGTTGGGTTCGCAGAGTACTTTGGCTGATGCTCAAATGGGCTTTGCTTAGCTATCTAATGAACACAGTGTATGTGCCAGCTTATCAATGGATCATTTAGCAGGGTTCTGCAGAGTCATCCACTGTTTTGGAGAACTGCCATTCCCAAGTAGAGACTCACATTTCATAGTATTTCTTAGAGCACAGTTCATTCCCTAGGAAATCATTTGGCTTTCCCGTAAGGACCTCCTGGAGAATGGCTCTGTCTTATGCCAGACAAAAGGGAAACCTTATATATGGCCTGTGATCAAAGCCAGCCTTACTCTAGCTTTGCTGGTGAAGCTGATAAGACCTGGAGCCTGAAGCACCAGAGCCTGATTGTCTGGGTTCCACGATAGCTATCTCCCTTTAAGACGAGGCCAGTAGCAGCTTCATGTCTGTTTCCTGATAATTGACAGAGCTTCCTAGCTTGATCTAAGCCTGTGTTTGTTAGTGCCGCCAAGAAAGGTCAAACTGGCATCACACAAGTTTTTCCTTAAGAACTTATCCTAAGGAAGGATAAGGAGGATAACCAAGGAGGAAAATGACTAGGGGTTATTGGTCCTTTCGTTTTCAGTGCCTCTTCTGGGTACCCTGGGAAGAAATCACCCAAATTAAACCTATCATTTCAGCTATCTGTAGAATGGAGATAATGATATATTTTGCTTACCTTGGGGTGATTATCTGACTAGAAGTTGGTTCTTTTTGGGTGAAAGACTTAAGATGTGTAAAGTAATAGGAAGGTGGATTGAGCTTTCTAACCTTCCAGATTTACGTAGTTCAGTTGCCCACTTATGAAGCACATGGCAACGTCCTAACAATGACCATCAAGGTTCTGACATATCTATGGCAACCACTCCTGGTTCATAAGAACCAAATCCAAATCTCCCTACCTTGTATGATTGCAGCTAATTGCTAAATGAACTTTTAGTCATCATAGTTTTTTTTTTTAATGCTTTCCCCCCCTCCAACCCCCCCAGTACATAGTTGTATAGTTTTTAGTTGTGGGTCCTTCTAGTTGTGGCATGTGGGATGCCACCACAGCATGGCCTAATGAGCGGTGCCATGTCCACGCCCAGGATCTAAACCAGCAAAAACGTGGGCCACCGAACCAGAGTGCACAAAGATAACCACTTGGCCATGGGGCCGTCCCCATAGTTTTTTTTTTTTAGTTTACAAATTATTTATATAAAACTTACTATGTGCCAGCACTCATTTAAGCACTTCATACATATTAACTCATTTAATCCTTATTGCAACATGACAAATAGTAGGGGCTATCATTCCTACTTTTAAGAGATGCTGTTCACAAAGAGCTTAAGTAACTTGCCCAAGGTTACCTGGCCAGTAAGTAGTAAAGCCAGAATTCAAACTCAGGCAGTCCGGCTTCAGAATCTGTATATTAGGTTAAGGGTCTCACAGGCTGTGTGAGTGAGAAGACGTCAGCTACCAGAGAGACTGCCTCTGCTTTGGACCTCTGCATCTCTTCTCTCCAAACTGTATCATAACTTACTCTTTTTTTTTTTTAGTGAACTTTTCAAATATAAACTTTGTTTTTTAGAATGGTTTTAGATATACAGAAAAATTACAAAGGTAGTACAAGGAGTTCCCATATACCCTACATCCAGTTTCCCCTATTCTTTTTTTTTCTTTTTGAGGAAGATTATCCCTGAGCTAACATCTGCTGCCAATCTTCCTTTTTTTTTTTTTTTTTTGCTGAGGAAGACTGGCCCTGAGCTAACAGCTGTGCCCATCTTCCTCTATTTTATATGTGGGATGCCTACCACAGCATGGCTTGCCAAGCGATGCCATGTCTGCACCTGGGATCCAAACCGCTGAACCCCGGGCTGCCGAAGTGGAATGTGTACACTTAACTGCTGTGCCACTGGGCTGGCCCCCAGTTTTCCTTGTTCTTAACAACTTACACTAGTATGGTACATTTGTTACAATTAATGAATCACTATTGATACCTTGTTATTAACTAAAGTCCATGCTTCATTCACATTTCCTTAGTTTTTATTTAACATCCTTTTTTGTCCCAAGATCCCATCCAGCATGCCACAGTACATTTAGTTGTCAAGTTTCCTTAGGCTCTTCTTGGCTGTGACAGTTGCTCAGACTTTGTTTTTGATGACCTAGACAGCAGTACTGGTTAGATATTTTGTAGAATTCCCCTCACTTGGTGTTTGTCTGATATTTTTTTCTCATGATTAGACTGTAGTTATGTGTTCTTGGGAGGAAAATCACAGAGATAAAGGCCTTTCTCATCACATCATATCATGAGTACATGCTGTCAACATGACAACGCTGATGATGTTGACCTTGATCTCCTGGCTGAGGTGGTCTTTGTCAGGTCTCTCCTCTGTAAAGTTACTCTATTCTCCCCTTTCCGTGCTGTGTTCTGTGGAAGGAAGTCTCTATGTGCAGCCCATGCTTAAGGAATGGGGAGTTATGCTCCACGTCCTTGAAGTGGAGTATCTGTATAAATTATTTAGAATTCTCCTGTGTGGGAGGTTTGTCTATTCTTACTCATTTGTTTATTAAATCATTTATTAATACAGTATGGGCTCATGGGTATTTTATATTTTGAGTTATAATCCACCACTACTTTATTTTCTTGCTCAAACTGTTCCAACTTTGCCATTGGGAGTTCTTTCAATTGTCTCCTTTATCCCTTTGACATACCTTCATTGCTGTGTTTTTTTTTTTTTTTTTTTTTTAACATTTCCTTGCTTTCTGGCACTATAAGATACTGCAGGCTCATCTTCTGTATTCCCTGCCCTAGTCACAGAATCAGCCAATTTCTCCAATCATCCCTGGATGCTTTCATTAGAGAATGGTATTAGAAACCAAAATCTGGGTACTAGATGTGCTCATTGCTACTGGAGTGTCATTGCTTCTAGGCCCTCTCAGATGACAGAGCAAGGAAATATATGTATGTATACTGTTAAAAACCAAAATTCAACTGAGTAAATTTGAAGATCTAATTGGCTTTATTAAGTGATTCATGAATTTGGCAGCATCTCTCCTGGCAAGCAGAGAGATACTCCAAGGGGTTACACAGCATGGACGGCTTTTATAGTAAGGAGGGTGGGACAAGGAAAGGAAGTCATCAGCAAGGAAAAAAAGGAAAGTTCATTGGAGGACAGTAAAAAATCAGGTGATGACAGCTTCTCATTGGTTGAGCTGTGGTGTTTTCCATTGTCTGGGCTTGTTGCTGGGCAAGAAGGAAGTCTTCCTCCTGCTGGATTAGTAAAATAGTTGCACTTCCTGATTGGGAGTTCAAGGTACATCTCTTCCTGTTGGAGTGAGTAACTGATCTCTTCCTGTTAGGGTCTGTAATTGATGTCTTTCTGTTTGGGTAATTGATGATGTGAGTGGTAAGGTGTGAGAGCTCCCACTACAGGCCTTCCTAACTCCAGTTTTAGTTGAGGTTTCCTTTATTAATTTGAACAGTTTTCCATTTTGATCAAGATCTTCCTTTGAAAGGGTCGCTGATCAAGAGAGTTAGGTTTTTCAAATTGAGTAGCCTTTGTCCCTTGGTTCCAGGAAGGACCTTTCCTGGGTGTCATGTCCCATGTCAGAGGGAAAGTGCATGGACCAGAAACAGCTTAAGGACACATTTAAGTAACAAGGAAGGGTAGTAGGGAGACCTCTGAAGTGTTTCTTATTCAAAGTCTATATTTAGTCAAGGTTGTAAGCTTTGGAAATCATCTCGAAGCACTGAGTTAGCATCACCTTATTAGGCACATCATTTTGACAAACAATAGTTACATAACTTAGCAACAAGAATACAGTGCAGAATTTAAAACAACCTAATGAAATCAGTTTGTAAGATGGTTCTAAACCAGGAGCCCAGACCTGAAGGTGACCAGCTAAATATAGCAAAAGACCATGGATCATCAGGTGAAATTTGTTGTCATTTATCCATGTGCAACAGCAGGTGTTTGCTGTTGCATAGACACCTCCTTGCTCAGCAAGTAGATAATCAAGGGCTATAGGATTATCCAAAACTACTTTATCCAACAAGTCAAGTGATCATTGCTGAGCTGAGACTGCTTTGGCTGTGGAATTGGCCAACTCTCCTAATGTTAGGGAGAGATTTCCAGTCATTTGTTCATTGGCACTTACTCTGGTCCACAGAGAGAAAGCTCTCCTCGTGAAGGGAAACCCAGAATCACGCATGCCTCCCAGAAGTTCTCATTTAAGGTGGTTATAGAGATTTGATGGGATGAACCAGTGGGAGGCTTCTGTTTTGTTATGGAGAGAGAATAAAATAGTGAATACAGCAAGGGCACACTGTCCTTTTATTCTCCAGCTGTCAAGGCAATGAGTTGCCCAGGCATAAAGGCCATTACCAAAACCTCCACATATAAAGATGTGGCTAGGAGGTGTGCATAAGACTCCTGCATAGGTGATGACTTCCAGGGACCTATTAGTATGATATCATTCACCCAAGACTCAGATATTTCATTATTACATATTGAAGGATTACGTAAACATAGTGGTATTTGGGATTCTAGCAAAGTTACTTAGGGGGAACTAAGGGGTCATTGCTGTCTTGGTTTAAAGACAAATCCAACTATTGGAGAGGTTTCCCCTGTTCGCAGTAGACTGGGAAATGTGGACAAGGGCATTGTCCTTCCAAGAAAGAGAGGGAGAAAATGAAGTAAGAAACAATAGTGAGGAAATGGTGTACAGGCCTGGTCCAATCATCTTGGGAAAGCTGTTTCCTTCAGATGCCATCTGCTTCAATTACTGGAAATCATAAATTTCAGGTCACTTGATGGTGTGCAGGTCAGTTTTGGTGCCTTCTTTAGGTATGACACATGAATCCAAAATCCACTCCTTGGAGTTGGCAGTACAAGGGTTGCTCCGTAGTACCTGGTAGGGACAGTGATGATTCCAACTAATTGGCAAAGCTTTCATTAAGGCTTGTTTAATTTGCTCAATGAAATGGGTGCCTTGATCACTGGAGATTGTGAAAGGTATACCCAAGTGGGAAACACATTCTCTAACAGATTTTTTTGCCACCGAGAGGGCATTAGCCTTCTGACAGGGAAAGGCTGACAGGGAAACCCGTCTGGAAAACATACATATAGTAACAAGAACATACTGTTAACTCATGCTAAGTGGCAGTTGAATGAAATCCAGCTGCAAGTGTTCAAAGGGTCCAGAGGGAGGAGGTCTGAGGCCTCTGGGGACAAAAGTAATTTTTCTAGGATCGTGGACCTCGAAGGTCAGACATTGCTAGTAGACTGTTTTTGAGGTTTTATAGAAATCTTCCCACCAATATCGATTTATAATTTGATTCATCTTAAGTGCACTATAGTGGGTGAAAGAGTGAAAAAAAGAAAAAATGGGGTTTGCCAGAGAGCTGGAAGAAGCAAGCAGCTGTCTTGGTTTCCTGTAGCTCTGACTGTTCGTTTAATTTATAGACATTGTTTACCCATCCTAATTTTTGTGACTCAGGAGCAGAATGTTGCCGTTACAAGGACATCATGATGGCAAAAGTCTGGCAATGAAGGGTCATTATTTTTTTACAGGAGTGATACCAAACCTTAAGTGAGTTCGCTCCCCCGTTGTGCAGCAAGCCAATCTCTGACACTGGGGGTAGTGGAAGAAAGTAGAGATTTTATTATTGCACAGCACTGAGCAAGGAGAAAGGGCAGCTAACGCTGAAATCCCAAACTCCTCGAAAAGCTAAAAGGAAGGGTTCTTATTTGGGGTTTTAGGTAGGGGAGGGGAAGCATATAGCCTTGCTGGTCTGAGCTTTCCTGCCAGTCTGTGTTTGGCTTTGAGACTACTTGCAGAGAGGTGGGAGCCCATGACCTTGCTGGTCAGCAGCTCTCCCACCAGTCTGTATCTCTTTGCGGGGAGGAGATAATGAATCCAGGTGCTTGTCCTTGGCAGTGTCTGTCTCCATGGAAGATAGTGGATTCTGGAGCCAGGAAGCCAGAGAGTAAGCAGGGAATGAGTGTTTTGGTTTTAACTCCACATATGCTGGGTTTAATGTGAGGGAAATGATATCAGGGTCAGTATCAGAAGCAGAATGGACTTTATCCAAATGTGCTACAATCTTCGTAAGTTCTGTTGCTGCTATCTTTGTGTGAAAGTCAGCAAGGGCATTTTCCTGATACTCAGATTCAGTCCTTTTAGTGTGAGTCTCAATCTTGATGACAGATGAATCTTCAAAAAGGTATTGGAGTAACTATAAGTGACAAAAGACTTAAAAAATGATTCATTATAATGCAGTTGGCAAAGGAATTTGGTTCTTTCTTTTTGAGGAAAATTAGCCCTGAGCTAACTGCTGCCAATCCTCCTCTTTTTGCTGAGGAAGGCTGGCCCTGAGCTAACATCTGTGCCCATCTTCCTCCACTTTATATGTGGGATGCCTGCCACAGCATGGCTTGACAAGCGGTGCCATGTCTGCACCCAGGATCCAAACCTGCGAACCCCTGGCTGGCGAAGCAGAACATGTGAACTTAACCACTGCGCCACTGGGCCGGCCCCGGAATTTGGTTATTTTTGTGACATAAAACATTTTAAGATAATAGCTAT